CCTCATGTGTAACATGGCTTCACTTCATTTAAAGTCTGGTTATTCTAATTTCTATACAAAATAATAATATCATGCTCTAGAAAATTAATTCATTTTCAAATGAAATTTTTTATTGCAATAAATATCATTTCACTGTCATTATTATAGTACATACATGTAACATCAGACTAAAATACAAGGCCAGTACAAAAAATAAAAAAATACATATTATTATTATTATTACTATTATTATTATTATTATTAACATTATTTTTATTATTACATGTACATGTATATTAGTTGAAACAATAACATACATTTTGTATGATTAAAATAATAAATAATAATTAATTAATTATAGTGTACACTTTGAAATAAACTGAACTTAATGATAATAAATACCTCCTTCCACTAGAGTCCTGACAATGGGGGTTTGAAGAAGCTGGAAGAAAATCAAGTCAAATTCAAAAGCTGTGTACTTCCATAACACCACAAAAAAGAGTAATATTATAAAGTTACTCATACATCTCTTATGGGTCCAAGGTGTCCACGTTTTGAAAGGGAATCCAGTACTGATAAAAACACTTTCCTGTTTGGGTAAACTCGCTTCTCTTGCATCTCATTCACTGTCTGCAGCACAAGGAAATTATATGAACAAGAAAAATCGAAAAACATTTTGCTCTTAAATGATGAAATTACTATAAATGTAGTCATTAAATGCAACCATGAATAATGTTATTAAAGGTGGCTTGATAGGTAATGGCCTCATTTCATTGCTATGACAACTCCGATGTCATTGTAACCGGCTTATAAAACAAATTCATTTTGACCATTAACTATAATACAGCTGTGGTAGTTAGTTTTCTAAATCTTTGTTAATTGAGATGTAGCTAATGCTCAAACACCAGAGGTATTGAACCTAAAAAAACTCATTGAGCCACCTTACGATACCGATGTTGGACTATTACACAGCCCAATACATGTATATATGAAAGCTAAACCAAACAGGAAGACAGGTGTTGCAGGGAAAAAATTCATATAACTGTGCAAAAACTGATGCACAAAGGTCTACAACCGGGTGGTCGAGTACACAAAATAATATCAAGATAGCAAACCATGTAGTAAGTGGGGTTTTTGGATGGCTGAGGAACAAAAGAAGTGGAATACATTTTCTCACACGTGGCTGGGAGTATGGGTTCAAGTGTGTGGGGGGTCTTCAGGTCATATATACGGCATTTCAAAGTTCAGTTGTTTTGGTAGCCTTCCACCACCGTTGTCTGACCTGCCCCGCCTACCCACCTTTCAGGTGTTTTCTAGATTGTTGTAGGATTTCAAGTAGTGCCTTAGTTCTGGTTATTCTTTTATCTTACATGTATGTACTAGGTTCAGTTTCATGTTAGCTGTTTTATTACAGCAGCTTTCTTTTTGTGCTGTAACACTTAAGTCTAGTGAATTGTGGTGTTGATAATTATAATAAAGGTTGGGCTGCATGGTTGGCATGGCATGGCTCCCAGTTGATTGTGTACATGTATGCGAACTGAGTGAGCTCACCTTCATAATGGAGTCCATGTCTCCTGCTTCACCATACATAGCCAACAGAGCAGTGTAGCTGTCCAAGTCTGGTTCCAATCCATTTTCCCTGTAGAGATCAGACACATTGCTTCATTTCCTTTCTCACTTAATGTCATGTGTGCAATTCAATACAGCGTGTAGGATGCAAATTATATGGGAGAAAGAGAGGGGAGTAGCCAAGTGTTGTTCAGGACTGAGTGCTGTCAAAAACACACAGGGCTAGCTGGGTTTATAGGCTAGTGTAAGCGATCGAGTACAATGCAAGTCTGCTATATGGGTATCACAGGGAGAAAAGCAGACACTGGGTTCCTGTGCTAAGTTTATGGCACACATCCTTTAGTCTTGTGGCCATGAAATGTGGGAACAGGGAAGGGGCAAAAGAATAAGGTATTGAGGAACCAATTAATCACAGCTGTATGGGTATCTGGACTCATCAGGGGTAAATGGTCTAGCAAATTGAGAATCCAAATAACAAGAAAAATTTTGAAATTACAAACCTCGAAACTTCAAACTGATTAACTGCTGCTTATAATGAGATTATTACCCAGATAATCCAGAACACCAATCTATACTGTACTGTCTATGCAGCTAATGCCACTTGAGCTTACCTCATGAGATCAAATACACCCCTTGCACTTTCACGATCACTGTAAACAGATGTAGATTTTATGTCACTGTAACTATTACATGTATCTAATAACAAAACTTTAACTCATCAAAAAGATACATGTAGAAACCAAAAAAACCTGAGAACATCGGATTATAGACCATTTTTACTGTGCAAAAAGTACAAGTAAACTAAGATGATGGATCATCAATTCTATAATTTATGTATTATTTTCCTTATTAATATCATTAATTTATTGGAGGTGTGTGTGGCCCAACAGTTAACACCTTGAACTCTGAATCTGAAGGTCGAAGATTCAAGCCTCGTCCGTCGCATTGTTTCCTTAGACAAGGAACTTTAATCTACTTTGTCTCTTTTCACTCAGGTGTATTAGATGCATACTGGTGACATACTGCTGGAGTGTAACCCAGCAATGGACCAGCTAGCATCCCATCCAGGGGGGAGTAGCAATACTCCTAGACATGCTTCGTACGAAGGAAACCAGAATTATAAGCTCCTGCTGTTTGGGCCTTTGACGCATGTGTGGGTTATTTTATATACTTACCCATTAAATCCATAAGCTGTGATGAGTGCTGCAAACACCTGCTCAGTGAGAGGCATTTGAGCAGCTTTAATAAACTCCAGCACTTTACTATAAAAAAATAACCAGAAATTAATATGAACACAGTCTTGTTTAGCTACTACATATGAGTACTAAGTGGTAGACATAAAAATTATCACAACTAAGTTTTTGTTTTTATTTTTATTTTTTTTTTGCAGATTTCCTGAAAGCTTGTTAAGAGTCAGCAGAATAATATTTTCAATTTTGTGGTGCTTAATGTCAATATTCCTCTTAAAATACGCATGAAAAAGTCACACAACTAAATAATGCCCACAGGATAAATAAGAAAATGATAAATAAATTACAAGATGGAGTTATAAGGGGGAGGAGGGGGGAGGGGGGGCGAGGGGCAGAGTCCTGTGGTCTTAAAATACGCATGAAAAAGTCACACAACTAAATAATGCCCACAGGATAAATAAGAAAATGATAAATAAATTACAAGATGGTGTTATAAGGGGGAGGAGGGGGGAGGGGGGGCGAGGGGCAGAGTCCTGTGGCAGGTTATAGCAATTTCAGGTTATGCACACAACAATACACAAGCCTCACTTATCACCCCACTACTACGGGGTAGGACAGGCAAGAGTATTTGCCAGTTCTGCATGGGCTGGATCGGACAAGATTAAGGCAAAGAAATAATTAAGATGGAAAGACACAAGGAATGCCAGCAAAAGCTTGGGGAAAGTCACAACGCAGACTTAACTGCACCACAAGGAGTGACCCGCCAAACTTTTATTGACATACATACATGTACATGTGTAGCACAACACAAGTCCTCCAAAGGGAGGGAGGGTGGGTAACAAAATTAGTGTAACTGTCTGCTTTCGTGGGAGCTACCTGAAAAATGACCGGGTGTGGCATAGCAGAACGTTTATAGCGAGACAGTGTCTAAAATTTTGATTAATAGGTACAGTTGTACCATAAGCTACCTAGTCTTATCATGATAACAGTCTAGTCACGAATAGGGCCTTGAAAACAGCGACCAATCTATGCGATGAAAAAAAAAACCATGTACATGTGTACGATGAAAAACATTCCACAAATTAGTAAGGTTACAGCCACAAACATTTTTTGTTTGCAGCTTAAAGAGTAACATGTTTTCAGTTTTGAATAAGGCTCTAAGGATACAACCGTGCATACATCGGGCAAGCTAACTCAGCCTACACCCCTGGGACATCATGTTCCATTAACTGCTTTTACCATCCGGTAAATTTCATATTATAATTTTGAGACTCAATGTACAAAACAAAATGAGCAAAACAAACAAAACTGAAAATTAACTTCTACAACAATACATGTAGGTGCACTGATGGGTTTTAGTTTAATACACTAAAACTTCATTTTCAAAATGACTGGTCTGTCTTGACAGTTATGGTTCATGGAAAGCACCACCTCCCAGGCAAGGAAATACATGAAAATAAATTGAAAGTGCCCAACACACAGCATGTGTATAAGCAACCTAAAAACATGACAAAGAATGTTTTTATATGATCTTAGAGTAATTAAATGTTTGGCGAAAAATCCAGCTATCCACATTAATTTTTATTTTAAAAGCTTTGCTATATGCAACCCTAGAAGTCTAAGGATCTTTATGATTACTTTTTGGTACAGAGCAGAATGTGGACTGCAACACTTACAAAGCTCCAGCAATGTCCCCTTTCTGTGCATAACCTTGCATAAGCAGCAGTAAGGTAGTCTGTGTAAAAAAATTAGAAAAGTGACTCTCACAATGACCCAGCTACAATGTGCCATCAAGCCTATATTAAGTGAACCTACAGTCATGTATAGTATAGTGGTGTGACCCTCTACAGTTGTTAAGCGTTACTTACAGTATCAGAGTGCAGTGCCAGAATCATTTCCCTTACCAGTAAAACTTGTCTGTATTGAGCAGTCACTTCTATTAAGCAGTTGCAGTCACCCTTTCAGAGGTCTCAACAAATCATATACTATTGTCTTGGCCTCTCTTTTACAGTGACTTTGTCAAGATGTAATAAAAATGTACCATACATTGAATAATGTACAGCTGTAGAAAAATGTTCAGGTACAGTGTACACTGTTCATGACATTGAGTGGTCTTTAACTGTACTAATTCCTTACTTTTGACACAAAAGAAGTAGAAACACTTTGAGGTCAATTTGTTTTGTGATGGATATTTTACTTTGTCACCATCTTTATTTTCTTGATTAACTCTTAAGATTGTTAAAAATAAGCCTTATTGAACATTCAAACAGCTGCATTAGGTATGTAGTCAATTAGCAATACATATACAGGTTGGTCTGTACTAAGCTTACATGTATTTAAAAGAACTGATAGTTAACCATCAACAAGAATTTTTGTACAGATTTATTGTTCACGCCATACCCTGTTAGGTTCGATGGTGTTTTTCTCCATTTTTTCCAAAACTTCCAGTGGATTGAAGTTATGGTTGTTTTGAATGTACACAGATAAGAGAGCGTTGTAGAGCATGACATCTGGTTTGACACCTAAAAGTAGAGGTAACAAAATGTAAAGCTATGTAACAAAATTGTATGCCGGTGTATCATTGTACATGTACAGCTGTACAGTGATCCATCAAGAAAACAGCTATATAGTGAGTCCTGGAACTCACACAACTATAAAACTATGAGTCCCAGGCCCACAACTATGAGTCCCAGAGCCACGTAATAAGAGTCTGGTACCCTTGTACATTGTATATAATGAATAACATAGACAATTTATAGATTTGTCATTTTCATTTTTATGAGCAAAACTAGATACGAATAGCTAAATTCTTAGAAACAATTTTCACAAAAAAGAGTCTAGGAAAACCTGAATGTACATGTAAGCATTATTAAAAAGCCAGCTCTTAGATTTAAGCTCCCACCCTTTGAAGTAAGGGCCTTGGAGAGCGATTTGGTTTTCTTGAAGACAAGCATTGCAAGGTATGGTGTTACAATGAAATTAAAATAATGAACTTGTTTATGCTCAAAGTCAGAGATACAAGGACTATTGCTTTATCCCATCAGCTTTAAACTGGTAATTGTGCGTAAGAAAAATTATTTTCTTCCACATAACAGGTAAATATAAATGACTTTTTCATGTATAAACAATGTGCATTTTAAGATGGAGTACTCACCTATTTCCATAAACTGATCCCAAAAATGATGTGCTAGCTCCACTCTTGACTCTGGTTTTTCATACAACAACTCTGAACCACAGTTACGTAGAACTTGATAGGCTTGTAAGGATGATATTCCACCCTCTAAAAGGTAATGATAATTATCACAAGGGCTAAGATGGCACACAGATGAATATTTAAAATAAATATAAATGATTTAGAATCAAATCAGTTTTGTCCTGTGCATGTTTACATGAACTCAAAATTTAGAATACAGTTAACAAAATGCAGGCAGGTCATAACCAACAATTACACTACAATCTTCCCTGGAGACTGGTCAGCTAATAAGACAACATACTCTCCATGAAGCATATACATGAAAGCTTCAACAGCTTGGTCAGTATAAACAAGAAGGATGCCAACATTGGGCTGTCAGTAAGTTTCAAAGAGGGCAGCTTGATTGATAAATAGGTGGCTGATTTTGCCATTTATTTTAATATAGTAACAACAAAAGCAGGAACAGCCCAGCATGGTGGCTTCCAAACAAACAATGCACATGTCAGGCACTGTAATAACTTTATGATGATTTCTTCATAGATTCCAGAGCATAAAACTATCAAAATTTGGATAGCTAGAAGAATTTACCATTTAAACATAAAACTCTAACAAAATAATACATTTGTAATGATGAGAAATATTGGTAAAGATCACACAGTTTTATTTCAAGATATTATTTTTTCTTGCATCCATCTTAGGTCCAACTTTGGGATATCTGACAAAAATCAGTGCAGCTATTTCTGACAGACAAATCTTTTTCATTTAGGTACATAAACTGAACCATTATCGCTATACAGAGAGTTACAAGTTACACAAATTATAAATGTCATTCTCTACAAGTCTATGATTCCAATTCAAAAAAGCTCATCTTAGCTCTTTTCATCTTTACAGTAGTAATTAGGACTTATAATGTACTGTACATAAAATATTTGAACAATAATGACATTTTGTTGTAATTGGTGTTATGTAAGCTTACACATACAGTACTTACAGTTGTACTGTATAATAGTAAAACTATGTCAGTTGTATCCAGAATGGTTACCAAGCTAAATCTAACATTATTATTAAAACAAGTGAAATTACTGCAATAAAAAAGCTGGGTTCACATGATTATCCACAAACACCTGTATCCATACAACTGACATAACAGTAAGCTCACTTTAGCTTACAGTGTATATTAGCCTGCCTACCTCTGTGAAGAATCTCTTTGAAAACCCTTAACAAAACCGGCTTCATCACAAGTGTTCCAAGCTGCCTGACTTGCCTCTCATACTGAAAATCCCCGCCTCTTTTTAAGCTAGGTCTGTCTTTCCACCCAAGGCTTCTGTTCCTATCTTCGGCAGCACTCTCACCCTCTGTCGAATTTTCGAAAGTTTCACCGGGGTCCGCGCTTGCTGAAATGTCGTTCGACAAATATCTACACCCAGAGACAGACGGATGGCATGCCTTTAGAATATTTTCCTTGTAAAAAGATGGTGAGATTCGTTGGTAAATCGCTGTGTTTCGTACACCATATGCTGATAAAATTCTACAAGCTCGTGCAGCACCGAATCGCAGAAGGGCCGCCATGATTGAAACACATGTGAAGCTTGGTAACCTGGTGCCCCGTGAAGTCGAGTGGTGCAATTTCCATTTTTTCCCCCTTCTTTTCATTTCTCATCCTCCCATTCATGAAACATGTGCGCCTGCTTGATGCTGGTCACTTTTAACCAAACTTGTACCTAAAGTGTACCCATGAGCATTATGATCTCTTGGTGTACCCATGAATTCTATTGACAAACTGATGTTTTTTTTTCTTTTTCTTCTATCTTAGGACGCAAATATTAGTCGTCTGTTTTTTATCGCAATATTGCGAATAAGATTTCTTTTTTGCCAGGTTATGGGCTCCTGTTTTTGCTTAGAACCGTACTACCGTGTGACATGAAATTTTCGCGGATTAGCGTTTTCTTGTGTTTTGCAGGAACTAATTTTTGTGATAAGGACAAATTGGTTTTTCTTGCTGGAAATTAATTTTTGCGATTTCAGAAAGTACCCAGTACCCATCATTGATAATAGTTTCGTTTTTATTGAGTACGTGCAATAAAAAAATACATATTTTCAAACAATAAACTATTATTTTATTTTATACCGTTTTGTTTCCGACGAAAGAGACGAGTTCTGATTAAACGCACAATATTTCCTAGCTCTATGTTTTTGTGTAGCGAATTTCAGGTTATAGAGAATCGAATATTTACCCTGGGGTAAATATTTGAGGGGGAAAACTGTTTGCGGTAATTTTTATTTGCATATTGCGGGAAGGTATTTGGAAAAATCGCAAAAATTAGAACCCGCAAAAATTTCGTGCCACACGGTATTCAGGTTGTTTTCAATAAGAATGTTCTGCCTCTTGCCTTTTTTAACGGACAATGTCCTTTCTCGAAATAGCTGTAAACTGTTACAATAATCCAAGCGCGACATAACAAAAGCATTGACCATCATCTTAAGGTGATCCTTGCTCAGATACTTCCTCAATCTGCCAATGAATCGAATCGCTAGCATATATAGCCATTTGGCATGTTTCAATATAATACCATGTAATATGATGACTAAGATTGAGCTCTCTAAGACTATCTAGGTTGACACAAAGATTACAAACTCGGTCTGATGGTTGTACTCTAGGGTTGCCAATCAAGAAATCGCTGAGAATTTGGTTCTTGCCGAAACGAGAACTAAACTGAATGACCTCTGTTTTACTAGGAGGCCAACTTATTGACGGTATTCCATTCTATGACTTCACTAATACACTTCTGGGGCCGGTTGCTCGAAGCCTGGTTAGCGCTAACCGTTGGTTAAGAGGTATCAAAATGTATAGGTTTCCATGGTATTTAACGCTGGTTAGCATTAACTATGCTTCGAGCAACCCGGGCCCGGGTGTTAAGGGCAAGACGTTGATCATGAGGGTCGATAAGTCTGTAGAGTTGAGAGTCATCTGCGTATAGAACATACAGTCTAAGTTATGAGCAGGGATTATGTCTTGAATAGGTGCTGTCTAAGGAGTAAACAAGAGAGGACCGAGTATCGAACCTTGCGGAACTCTAAATTCTAATCTCCCACTGCTAGATGTTGTGTTACCAATAGTAACATATTGTATCCGACCAGTAAGATAAGACGAAAACCATCTTGGTACTGTGTGGGAAAAACCAAAGTATCTACTCAGCCTATCCAAAAGTATAGTATGATCTAAGGTGTCAAATGCAGCTGACAAATCAAGTATGACTAAAACAACATAAACAAACAACAGCAGCAATCAGACTCCAGCCCTAAAACAATAGTGCTACCAAAGATCCATGGAATTTAGTGGTTCTAAAGAGCTTTGTAATACATACAGGGAGATGACTGTTTATCGATTTCAAACTTTGGTGTCGTGATTTGTCTCGGTGCTTTGTTCATGGATTATGCGCACGAGAGGATTGAGTAAGCGTTCCCTGTGAAAAGCGCTAGCGTTCCCACGTGAGCAAGAGGAGAAAGCTGAGGTAGGATTACAAGTGTTTTCGATCCAAATGTTTTGAATTCGTCGCGGACGCTAAAAAGAAGCACTGAAGACTCATCAATTTAGGGTTAGCCTCGACCCTTGACAAATTCCAGTCACAATTAGGACCTGTGTTGAACTTTGTCTAATGTTTTAAACTCAAATTCAGGCACCTTCTCGTCGCTGTTTGTGAATATTTCACTTTATAAATGGGTCTTAAGTGCTTCTATTCAGCGGCCGGGACGAATTCGAAACAGTACTATTTTCAAGTAATAGTTAAAATCTCAAGGTCGGCCAGGGTTTCAGGGTACTATACCATATTTACTTGTTACGCCACCCGTTCCAATAAACGCCGCACTTACTCAGGCGAATGCGGCCTTTTGAAAGCAAGACATTGGGAATGAAAACACCTTTCTGGTTAACATAATACTTACAAATGATTTATAGTAGTTGTTGTCGTTGATTTAGGAAATGTGATGCTATTGTCATGACTTCGTGCGGTCCATGTACGATACACGTTTTAGCTACCCAAAAATAGCTACCTCCTGAAAGTAGCGAGCCTCTCCAAAAGTAGCGATAGAAAAAGTTTGCTAAATCCGACAGTAACGAGAGTCGTTATTTTCATTTCGGAACTTTACGGTACTTTTAATAAACTTTATTTCAGATAATGATGTTTGATACATCGAAATGCCAAGCCTTGCTAATGCGTGTTTCTTGAAAAATTGAGTGTGGGTAGAAATACACCATGTTTCGTCCTTTCAATAGAATACCCCATCATGCTCCTGATTAGCGATATTTAGAAAAGAACAGCGCAAAACAGTTTATTCACATTATTTTAAATTCGGTTAGAAAAACAAGTGGCTGGTAAAAAAATGTCCTTCTTTTGAAATCCTTTTTCTCGATTTATTAAGGTTCTGAAGGAATATCGCGACCTCAGTGACAAAAGCTTGGGTCCAAGATGGATATAAAGCGCGTTTTGTGAATGACCCTTCCATTGTCCCTTTTGTCACCGTGGGGTAGGGGATGGGGAGTACTCAACAAAGTTTTATACACGGAGGCTCCCCCGCAAGGTCCAATCCTTTGCCCTTTTATATATTATTTTTGGCAGTGATGGTTTCCCTTTTCGTTTACCTTTCATTGACAAATGTCACCCCTTCTATATACCTAGTTTCAAATTTTGGATCCCTTTTAAGTGCAGTATAAATGCACTTTTTAAAGAAAATGAATGAACCACAAAGGTCATTTTACAGACTAAAATAACAGATTTCCCTACACTTTCATGTATTTCAACTAGTGAAAACCCTGCCCTTCCATATACCTGAAGCCTGAAAAAAGTAACCCTTTCGGGCGGAGTATAGGCCTTCCCCACATAAAAGATGAAATTAAGGATCCTGGAACAAGGTAGGGCTGCTCGCTGAAAAGCAATTTCCTTTGTTTCAGTGACTGACTGCATCGGTTGGTACCAAGTAGTTAACAATGCCCCTCGTCTTCTTCAGAAAGTGAATTAGTGAAGAGGTCCTCTGTAATTATCGCCATCGATTCATATTTTCTTTTTGGTTCCTTTTGGTAGAACAAAAGTATCGCTTTCCTCTCCTTTTTATGCCTTGAAGAGATCATTTCCTTAATTAGGACCATATTTTGATGAAAATTCTCAACCACTGCTTTCATCTCATTCTGAGAGGTGTGCCATGATTCTAAGAGAGAAATCAGTTAGAGTAAAGTACGAGTGAGCTGCGTGGCTTACCCAAACAGACAAGGAGAAGTTATCAAGAAATGACTTAGGGGAGGTATACAGGGGTGCATCTACACTTCTTGGTCGGTTGTATAATTTTTATCCGAGTGTTTTACGAAGACCAATTTTCCAAATTTGGTCGGTTCTTAAGTATCCTACTGTGTCTTGAAGTCAGATTTTTATTTATTAGGATTATGATTATGATTATGATAACATTATGATTATCATTATCATTAATGATCATGATCATGAAATGTGATGATGTTATGGGCGCTTTACCTAGCGCATGCTTTCATGGAGGGAAACAAAAAGAAACGTAATTTAATTTAATAATAGAATTTGATTCAAAAATCCTACCATGTGGTTTAATTTTTGCTCTTGATCTAGTGTATCGTATTATTTCATGCATAATTCCTAGCAGCAGACACGATATTAATAGAGAACTTGTTAAGATCAGGGTGTTTTGAAACACAACGCTGTCACTGTCGAAGAGGCCTGTGGATCTCTCTACTGGTAGCGAATCGGCAGGTTCCTGCAAAATAATTCATACCGCCATTTTGAGTTTACTTAAAAAATACCGCTATCCTAGCCGCCCTGCAGCATGCATCTTGCGTCCATTATCTGCGACAGGGGTGAGGATCTAGCTGCTTTTTAACAGGAAATTCATAAATAATTTATTGTGTACTAAAACATTGTGAAATATGGAAGAAAGGCCAAGTTAAGCACTAAAAGCTACTCCAATATATCAGATTTAGTAGAAAACTAGAAATTGCTCAGAATGCACAAAGTTGCTCGAAATACGAGACGTTGCCAAAAAGTTGCCGAGCAACTCGTGGAAAACCCTAGAGGTACTGAGTGAGGTCGACACTTTAATATTTAGTGAAAAGCAGGGAAACATGGCGTCCTTTAACTTCACCTCATTTCTTTGACAACGAATTCATTTCTTCCGGTCAAAGCTTAATGCAGAAATTATGTACTCACTGTAATGCACATTGATTGCACAGCAACAGTGCAGACAATCAAGTTTCTACACACGAGTTCAGAGCGGAAATGTATCATGTATTATAATGCCCTGGTTCGGCTAGATGCCTCGTCATAGAAAACAAGGAAACAGTATTATCACCTTTAACTGCTCCGTGTTCTTCTGAATGTGCTTTGAAATCTCGCTAGCGTAGACATGTTGAGTTAAATCATTGAAACACTTTCTAAGTTTTCTGGCTCCTTTGCCCATGACAACTCCATAGGTAGAAGAGTAATCTAGAACCTTATATACTCTAAAATGGTGTTTAGCAAACATATCCTTGCTACTTCCGGCGCTGTATGTATCTA